TTTATTATCATAAAAACAAAAAGTTTTTTTGAGAACGTCTGTTTTTTGGGTTGGCAAAAGGATCAGCGGAAAGAGTGTTTTAATTTAAATCTAATTAAATATTTGTAATTAAAATAAATATATATATATATAATTTTAAAAAACTAAAAACTGTATTATAAAAAAAATATTTCAAAATCAATTAATAAATTGTATAAAAAGTTTATTATAAAGGATAAAAATAATTATTAAAATAATAACTTTTAAACAAACAATTAATTCATATATAGATATTATATATAATATATAATAAGATATAATTTTAAAAATTTTAAATAAAAAACAATTTCTTGAAAAAGTATAAAAAATTAAGCAAATTATATATGTTATAAACAATAAAAAATTTTTTAAATATTTATTTTTGTATTTCAATATTATAAAAATTTAAAATAAAAATTTAAAATAAAATTTAATATTAAATATTTAACAAATAATTAAAGTTATATAAAAAATAAAAAATATATAAATTAATATTTAATTATTTTTATAAAAGTAATATGAAAACTAATTTTTCTTAGCAAAAAATGTAAATATTTATTAAAACTTTTTTAAAAAAAAGTCATTAAAATTAAATATTTGCAATAATAAATCAAAAGTTAAAAATAATAAAACTAAATATTGCTAAATAAGTTTTTAAGATTTATTTGTAAACAAGTCAAAAAAATATAAAATAATAGATGTTTAAATTTTAAGAAATAAAAAAGAAATCAGAAATATAAAAGTACAAAAAAAAATAACAAGAATAAGATTTTAAAAAAAAGTTAAAAAAAATAAATTAAAATAAAAACTTGAATTTTAGAATAACATTATAAAAATATCAAATCTCAATATAAAAAAATCAAATCTTATTTAAGTTCAAAACAAGTTTTTAATTTAGGAATAAATTAAAAAAAAATAATAATTAGAGTTATAAAAAATAGTTTAGATTTATTTAAATAAATTATATAATGAATTGTAAGCAAACTTTTTTAATTACAAATTTTATAAATAAATAAATATTAAAGAAGATATTTAATTTATCTTTAAAATTATATTTAAAAACATTAATATAAAACAAGTATTTAAGCAATATAATAATTAGTATAATATAATATAATATATATTATTTGTTTTCTTTAAATATTTAATAAACAATATATTCTTTGATTATAAAAAAAATTTTTAAACAAAAATAATAATTGATGAATATTTTTATTTTAAATAAAATTTTTTATTAAAAAATATTTTAATAATATTTTATATTGTAAACATTATTATAAAATTCACTATTAACAATTTAATATAATTTAAGAACAAAGCCTATTCTAATTATATAAATTTAATATTATCTTATAAAAAAATTTAAAAAAAATTTTACAATACAATATATTATTAAATATTTTTTAAAAATTTTTTTTATATAATAATATATAAAACCTTATTTAATTAAAAATAATATAACTAGCAAATACTATTAAATTCAAATGTATCTTTTCCAAGTAATATAAAAAGTATATAAAAAGATATTAAATGTTAAGAAACAACAATATTTATGTTTAATACAGTATGATAATATTAATAGTGTATTTTAAGATACTATGTGTTGTAAAAAAAATATCAATTATATTTTTATTTGTAACATAGCAAAAATTATTAAAAAAACAAATAATAAATTTAAATATAATTAAATTAACATCTATAAAATAATTTTTTCAAGATTACTTTATTATTTACTTTATTATTTAATTTTATATTCTAATTTTTAACAGAAATTTTATATTGTACTTTTTAATTTCTATTTAATTACTGTTTAAAAAAAGTAATATATATACAGTATATACTGTATTTATATAGTTTTTACTTCTTGAATAAAAGATTTTAAATAGCAAAATAAAAAACAAATTAATAAATCAAATAAATTTTTTAAGAAAATATGAAATATTAATATAATAAATTTTTAATTAAAATTTGTATTAAATTTATATCTTTTAAATTTTTGTAAAAATTTTAATTATAAAAAAATATTTATCGTTTTTTTTTTAAATCTTTGAAGATTTTATTTAAACAAAATAGAAATGATTTTTTTTTAAAATAACTACCCAGACAAAAAATATTTATCTTTGTCGTGAATATCAAGATTAGATAATAATTAATATATTAAAATGTGAAACAAGCGATTTAATTATTATAATTAGGCATATTTAGTAAAGTGTAATGATATCAACAGTAACTATAAACAAAAAAGTTTACAAGCATGAAACTTAAACTATGCGAAAAATCCGCTTTCATTACATCCTTAGTTTCATAGCTAATCGTATAACTATTTTTTTTGCACTCTCTGGACCATACATGATTAGAATTATAATAATAAAGAACGCGGCCGTGAATCCCAAACATGCCCACGCCAAGGCTTCTCCAAAAACTCCATAAACTGTTTTCACGCGTCTATATAAAGGTACCTGGAATGTAAATGATATATCTTCTAATGTTTGGATGGCGGCATATTGTTCTCCGTATGGGCCCCATATACCACTTATCCCATAGCTATTACATCTAAAATGGGTGAATCCATTTTCAATGGATCTAATTACATTTATTCGTGGATGATAATTCCCTATCGGACCTTTGAGAGCACGGAAATGTTATTATCTATACATAATTAATAAAAATTTCGGCAATAAAAAGTGTTGTGAATTATAATTACCCCAAGTCAAACTAGTATCTAACATAAAATCAACATCATGCGTCGAAGCTTGACCAATTAATTTAGGAAAATTGTAATCATAGCAAATTGCACCTCCGATAATCCCAAAATCTGGTGTATCGAAAGTTTGTAAGATATCTGTTCCAGGACTTATATCGTTTTCAATAACAGGTACTAAATTACTCTTTGCATAATCTATTAGAACATCACCCGTGGGCGAAATTACTGTTAGTTTGTTATATTTTCTTCCGTCCGGTGAAGATGAATCTATATATGTAAATCCAATATAAGTATTATATACGCGAGAAACTTCTTTAATTCCGCTTGTAAGATCGTCGAGTTGTTTTGTATCATTGGCGATTGCTACTTTCTCTGACCATAGGATAAATTGAGTACCATTAGAAGCTAGATCTCTTGTTCTTTCGATATAATATGAATTTTCATGTTCTACAGTCACGCCGCCAATCACGCATCCAACTTTAGTCAAATTAGAAGGGACAAATGATTCGATATTTTTTTGGTAAAATGGTATATAAGCTAACGAAATCCTAATTGACCCATATCCGATTATTAGAAATAGAGCAACAATATAAGCCAAAACTGGATTTGTCATTATATTAAAAGTCTTTCGATTCCTTCGTCCTGTATTCATAATCAATGAAGACGAATCTTCTTGATTATTCTTAGTGGGTAGTAAAGATTCATGACTGTGGGATGTAAGTGACAATTTGTTGATTAAGTGTGCACCTACTGTTCCACCCCACGCAAGGAGAAAATTGAGGCCCCCCAAACCCGAAAGAGATGCAAACTGTAACATTTCGATACTGCCCAGGAATGCAAACCTAAAACCAATGTACAACTCTACATGTATCAAATCGCCTCGCTTCAAAAATATGCACGAAAAAGTATTACTTACGCGTAGTTAATAAGATCTCCCGAATTGTATACAAGTATATTCCATATAGCTGTTGAATATTTTTATAGTAAAACTTAATAACTTAAATTAATTAAATTAAAGACTTTCAATCAGTTACCTGTCCAAACGCATGGAAACACCATAAATCTTGCCCATCCTTGAAAACAAGTTTTTGCTAAGCGGTCAAATGTTAGACTAATAATTATCAATACATTTATCCCGAAACAAATAGAAGCCGTTATTCCGGTGAGCTTTGGCAACCACATTTGGTTAGACATTCTTATAAAAGCCAAAGTCGTGCCAACGCTGTTTGCGAGATAAAAAACTAGACACCATATCCATCCTACATTTCTAAAATAGTATACTGCAAGAGGAAACCAAAGCCAAACGCCAATCGATATTGTTTGGAAACCTGGACCAAAGAACGTCAGAATTGTCAATAATGGCAAGAGATTAAGAAGAGAATCAAAGAAATTCATTATTATTATTTTTAAAATATTGTTTGTACGTGTAATAGGTGTGGGTTATTTATACCACTATGTTATTTATTATAAACTTTATAACGTAATATACGTAATATACTTTAGGTAATCAGCGAACTTACAGTATAAATTGATTTACCGATCACCTAACTTAACATATGAAATGACATTAGATTTCTAGATACAAATACGTAATTAATCGGTTATACTGTATTTAGTTAATTATAACATCGATTTTCCCTACAAATAATGACATCATAGTAGCTAAGTGTTACTGTAACGGGTCTCGAAAATCCGCGTCTGATCAGTTACAGTATTAAAAGATTATGATTTTATCAGCAAAAAAATCTTTATAAAGTTTAATTTGGAAATTTATAGTAGTTCATACACTTTTCAGTTGCTATCTATTTTTTATAACACATTTCAAATAAGTTTAATCAAATATATTTAATAAAAAATTTATATATATTATTAGGCACATTTTATATAATTTAAAAGTTTTTAAAAAATAACTTTATAAATACTCTATAGGATTTAAACTTAACAATTGCAAATTTAATATAAAACTTAAAATTTTATTGTATTTTAATTACTTTTAAAATATTATAATTTTTTTAATTTACAATCAGGTTCAAGTTACATATACGTATTTATTAAATTTTATTGAACTATTACAAATATAAGAATAATATAAAATATAAATTTTTTAAATTTAAATTACATTTTAATAATATAAGGTCTTTATATATGATTTATAAAGTAATCTATTCGTATATTGGATAGGATAAAGATATAAAACCTTTTGATAGAATTAAAATCTGCAATTACTTCTATATTTATATATAATAAATTCAAATTGTATTATTTTTTATAAAAATTATAAAATAAAAAAACAAAAAAAAAAACGAATATATATATACAGTATATATAAACAAATAAAATAAGTTAAAAAATCCCATTATCAACTATTATTGAAAAAAAAATTTAATTAAATACTTTATAATTTTTATTATATTTATTTTTATTATCTATAATCAATTAAGTTATTCAATTTTTATTGAAATAATAATGTTTAAAACCTTTTTACTTAACAACTAATAAATAATTAATTCTCTATTATGAATTTTTTTTAATTGATTTTTTTCAAATTATAATTTTATTTAATTTGTAAATAATTTTAAAATCTTTTTTCTAATTATTTTTATATTAAATTTTATTACTTTAATTTATTATCAAATTATAATATAATTTAAATTCTATATTAACTATTTAGTTTTTTAAAAAAATAAATAAATAAAAGCAATTCACTATATTACAAAATTAGCAAAGAACCTCAAAATTCAAATCTGTCCTACAAAATGCCTATTTCATTTTGACAATACAAAAAAATTTATCAGCTTTTATTTATTAACATACAACTTCAACTCAAAAAAACAGTTATCAATATGATAAATGCTTTTAAAATAAAGTTTATCAACTAACTATTAAAATATAATAATATCACCAAACTTTTTTAATTATACCTTGTTATACATATAGTAATAATTTGTTTGAATTCAAAGTCTAATTGATTTAAATTATTTGTAAACATCAAAAATCTGTTCAGAATTCATAATTCAATATTAAATTCTAGTTCAACATTTTGATTTTTGTACAATATCAACACAATAGTTAAGATCTGCAAATGATATTTCTTTATAGATAAAAAAATATCACTTAAAGAAAAACACTTTACTGTTAACTCTGATAATAATCTTTTCGAATACTCAGAATATCCAATTGACACATTTCTCTATAAATTCTGCTGGATACTATTTATGAGTATATCAGTTTCAATATTATGAATTTCTTTTAATCTCTCCAACAGGTTTAAATATCATCTACTTAATATAATTAATAAAATTGTCAACTTTTCACAAGACAGTAAACATATTCTTCAAAAGATTAACATTTCTGCCAACTCTTTCTCTCAAATATTACTATAGAACATTGGCCTATAACAATATTATCATATCCAATATCACAAAAACAACTTATTTATAAATGATATTAAAGTGAAATTACTTAATTTTTGCCTTTCACCAGGTAGTACTTTATTAACAATCTTTAATATTGTTTAATAAAAGTTATCTCATTCAATAATAAAAATCAGAAGCAACAAAAAATTCTTTAACCAGTATTTAGTATCTAAGAAGAATGGTTAAAATCAATTTCTTCTTAAAAACTCAAAAAACAAATCAGTATACATAACAAAAGTCCATAGAAATTATATATATGTATATACCAAACTCAAAGTCAAATTAACATCAATCAAAACTATCCAATAGAACAATTCTTTATTACACTTTCCTGAAAATCTCTTGATTAATGAAATTTATTTAAGTAGTAGTATCAGATACTATAAAAAAATCTTTAGTATTATTAAAGATTATATGATCTGTGAAAGCTTTTTTATTATTTAAACCTTTGAACAAACTTATATTCCATATGGTTTAAAATTATCTATTAGTCCAACAGAAATATTAAAAAACTTCACAATAACAAATACAACATCTTAGTTATATTGTTACACTTGATTTTTGCCCAAGATCTTTACTACTCCTTGTCTGATTTTCACTAGCATTGACCCTTAAAATTTTAGCTGATCTAAAATAGTTTTGTATTACAGATCTGTTATTGTACCTTCGACATCTATTGTATCTATTGCACATTTACCATTTCAAGAACATTTTTATTTTATTATATCTTTACTTTCTATATTATCTTTACCAAAGTATTTATCTATGTAAATGCTACTATAGTTGAATATTCTGACAAAAATAGTATCTATATCTTAGCTTATATTTTTACCATAGTATATATTTATCCTATACAAAAATATTATAACTTAAACATATATATAAAGGCTTCAATTTCACCTAGGAATTGACAGGCTTGAACATATATTTTGTCAAATAAATATCTTGACCTTTACAAAACAAATCACTATTGCCTCTTTCACCTGATCTCATATACCTCAAAACTGTACTAATTTGTATGCCTCTAGGAACTTTAGCATATCACATTGGTCCTGTTTATCTAAAATGCCTTCCTGCTACTAATTCTCCATCTTTATCTTTTTCCTGAGATAGAAATGATATATAACAATATAAAAAAATTTTATGAAAATAATACATGACAAGCATAAGCCAGTTTATTGTTTAAATATAACTTATCTAGAAATTTTATATTACTATTATTTTTCAAATAAAAAATTCAAAAATATTATATACCTGTTTCCAAATATAATTTATTTGAATTTATATTTTAGTACAGAATTTGATAATAAAACATTAAATTGAATAGAAAATTATATCCCAATTTGAAGTATCTCAATTTGGTAGAAGGACTTATCATAGATTCATAACTGATAAAAGTCTATATACAATTGCAAATTTATATCATAAATTAAAATATCTGAATATTTCTAACTATAAAGAAATTTCTGAAATAGTAATTTAAAATATTATTCATTCTTGTCCGAAGCTTCAATAGTTTAATATTTGTAAATATAAAATTTTTTATATACGTAACTATCAAGAAAATTGAATTATATCTTAAAATAAATATATTAATGCAAATATGTCAACAGATATTTGAAAAGAATCAGTTAGGTTTTATATTAAATATATTTATATATAAAGTAAAATAAGTTTTATATGTTATATATTAAAATATTCTAAATTGAAAAATCAACCTATCAATATATTAAAAAAAAGATTTCAGGATGCTTAATCTGTTCATATATTAAAAGAGATAGTACAACTTATAAAAAAAGCTGTTGGCAAAATATAAGATATTCATTATATTGAAAATTATATAATAGAAATATGGCAAAATTTTCTTGTAGAATTTGTGAAGAACAAACAATTTCTAAAATGGGGTATTGTCTTAAACATGTAAAGAAGGTTTATTTTCAAAATTGATATAAGAGACAAAGGCACAAAGAATAGAAGTAAACAAATAATTGTATAAATTCTGATTTTAAGCATTACAAAAATAATTTATCAATTGATAGGATTTCAACAAGTATTATTTTTTTGATATTACAAAAATAGTTTATTTATTGATAGAATTTTAACAAGTATTATTTTTTTTGGCATCACAAAACAATCTCTGTAATGAGATATTTTTTATAAATATTATTTTTAAGTATCAAAAAAACCCTTTTTGTAGAATATAGCATAGACCTTTATTAAATAAATATATACATATATTTTTAATCCCAATATCAGATTGATGTCGTTTATTTATTAAATCATAAAGAACCATTACACACATGAGAATACATGCAAAGTACAAATTTCCCTGACTCAACTCATCTGTCTTTAGCCGAAGCCTCTAGATACAATTAAGATCCCAAATTTCCGATAGGATCAGAACCTGCATATCACCTCCACAGTCACAATCATAAATCCAAATTGTGTCACCCCCCTTTTGTAGAAACTACGCAAGGGAAAAAAGGAATAAAAAAGGAATTTTTTGACAAAGAGAAAAGAAAAAAGCTATTATTTATTCTAATTATCATTGAAAAGATTATCTTAGTAAACTTAAAAACCCAAGCCCCTCATGGATTCCCACTTCTCATCACCTGTGGCCAGTTAAACTGTTTAATTTTTAATGGAGTAGTTGATGTCCAAGAACATTTAAGGACACTTCCAGGAGAGTATTTCTTGAAACTTTATGCTTGAAAACTTCTAACCAGAAAGGATGTTGGTTTTTTATTGTTGACTTCTCTTCCAAGCCATATCTTCTGA